AGCTTTATAGGTTAGAACTGATTTACAGCCTTGGGTATTTTCTCTGGGTAACTCTCTAAACGGAGAAAAAAAAAAAAAAAAAAAAAAAAAAGAGCAGTGTACACCTTGCTTTCATACAAGCATGGACTATGTAGACCCAATGAACTTGTAAACACCAGCACTCCCCACTGCTACTCAAAATGGAGCCTGCACTATAAAAGTTGAAGAAGTATTTGTTTTAGATGAGGGTGCAGCATCAAGCCTAAATTTATAACATAACCAGAGAAACTTAAAAGTTGTTTTCTAATTTCAGAGAATAAGTAGATAAACACTACTATGTATAGAGGAAACTAGCTTCTCGTGACTAGTTTAACATGTTTAGATGACAATTTAAATAGATGATCAGCATTTCTGAAGGCATCACTCAGATTGTTCATAATGAATTAGCTGAAACATCACCATGTATTAGTAACTATATGAAATTTCAGGCCAAAGGACTTAACAAAGCACCTGATTTTAGTTGCTTAAAATGTAATTATGAAAGCTGTGCTTGGAGTGCATACAGTCAATCTGGATTCACAGTGACAGAAAGCAACAGCTGTATCATTCCTGTTTCAATACCTGCAAAGGCTCATTCATGCTGCCGCTGTTTCTAATACAGAGAAAAGACTAATTAGAAATGCCAAGAAGTAGTACAAGGTTAACAACAGTTTCTGTCAGCTCTCTGAATTTCTACAGAACTGAAGTTTTCTTACTTGACACACTTGGAAGTCCTTCAGCTTCAAAGGATACTTTCCAAATGACAAACAGTAGTTTTAATAGGCATGCAGGAATTTTCTGTTGTGGCAAACATCACAAGGTTTGTAAAACACTTGTATACAAAACATCAGGAAAAAAGAACACACATTCTGTTACATTTCTGGACCGCTGCTCGGTTAAGTACCCTTGCTAGTAAGGGAGTAAATTCAGTTACCTACCGATATTTCACTTTGATCCTATCATTGTCAGGGTTGCAGTAGAGTCTTTCCAGATGCTCCTGGGAATCATTGGTCACACTTTGCCAGCTCTGGGTTGCTGTCCTTCTCACTTGCCAATGATAAGGCAAGACTGTGTGATGTTTGGGACAATCACTGCCATAAACACAAGTGCCCTGGAGAAAATCCACACAGATTTCTATTCCGTCTTCCTGATGGGTGTGATATTGCAGCTGGTTCAAGAGCTCAAATACCAGATCAAGAGAAGCTTCTTCACTTTTATCCTGGAATATCCCAGCACTGAATTTATTGCTTGGGTTCAAGTTGTATTGCATGGGACAGCTATTCTCGTGGAATAAGCCAGATGTGTAGCTTTCCAGAATCTTGTCTGGGAACAAAGGACAAGCTGCACCATCGCCAACAGTTGGGTGCAAAGGATGATCCTGGAATGATTCATTACTATTATCAGCAGCAGTTCCAGGAGTAGTTTCTGGTGACAAGCCCTGCTCTCCAGACTGGATATCCTGCTCAGAATGCCCAGAAGAAGGACGAGCTCCTTGCAATTGATTCTGCACATCTGGAGCTGTCGGCATCAGCACAGTCACGTTACTTTCTGGTTGGGGGCAAGAAGTACCAACATCCAGAGTCTTTTTCACAGCAGGTTCACATAAATCACTATGACCACCACCTTGGCCTCGGGGCACAAAGACCCTATCCAAGGTCCCAGCTCCCAGCAAACTGGTAAAGATTGGCCGCAAAGCCCGGAGAGTTTCTGTGTCCAGCCTCTTCTGCACTTGCTGCTTCTTCTTGAAGCAAGGCTTCACCGGTGGTATCTTTTCAGACAGTCTTATCTGAGGAGGAAAGTCCTCTGAAGGAGGGCACTTCATTCCTGGGCAGCGAGGCTGCTGCACAACACACGCTGGCTTTGGTTCGGTGTCCATCAGACACAGACTTTGCTCTCTCCAAATCACTTTCAAATGTCCCAGAGCCTCACAAGAATCAATCTAGGGCAGAAAGGAAAACAAGACAGTTAATCTCTCTAATTGCTCATGGTTGACACGAACAAGATCACCCCTGGAGAGGATTTCGAGCCAGCAACAGCTAACTCCTCCCCTCTCTGTGACTGTGGGTAGCCCCTAGGCACGTAAAGCATGAAACCAGCTAAACTCAGGCTAATTAATCCCAAACACACACTCATCGTCTGCTCACACACGAAATCTCAGAGCCACTCAGGCACGCACGCACAGTCCCCAGAGGGGAGCGGGGGGCAGGGAAGGGGGATGGTCTCATGCCCTCCTCCTCGTGATGATGTTTATTATTAAACAGCGCTTTGGTTCATTATATTCCACAAAAGTGAACATTGCATTGTTCGCTTTTATACCTCCCTCACACCCAGACCTGAGAACAGAAGCATTAGCAGACATACAGCCCCCAAAGGTTCCCACCACACTGCAACAACATTCACGCCCCATTTCTTCTCCCACCAGCTAAAGGGGCAGACGTACCCGGTCCCATTCTGCTCACACTGATCTTCCCTCACCCCATCTCACACACCCACCCAGAAGCATCACCAGAGAACCGCCACCTTCACTTAAACTGAAGAGCCAACTTCATCCTGACTTCATCAGGGGCCAGGATTTCACGCTCGGTTTTCCAGACACAGGGAATTCAAGCGCTGACACCCTGTTCCTCCTGCGAGGCATCTGAGGGTGACGGTCTGGGCCACGTCCAGACACTCCCACCTCACACACAGCCATCCTCACATGCCCACACACTCCCGCACTGACTCAGAGGCGCAGGCTGCACTCCCTCACCCTGCCCTGACACACCGAGCTCGCTCCCCTCTCCCCAGGAAAGTCAACAAGAATTAAAACCGGGCAGTGAAGAAAACAAAGGGGTGCTACCTACCCAGGAACAGGGGAAAAAAAATAAAAAATAATTTCCAAGATGAAAATTCTTTTTTTCTAAAGTTCAAACAAATACTGTGTCTCGTACGTCACCAGAAAGCAAGCTCTACACCTTTTAATCAGGGATCTTGCAATATTTGATTACAGTTAATTAAACCCTCTTCAATCTCCTCACACATCGCCTCAAAGCCCGGAGTGGAGCACATTAAGGATTATTTCCTGGATAAATACATTCCAAGCAAAGTCACTTCTCATTGCAAAAAAAAATCCCAGAAAACAGATAAAATTTGGCAATAATTTCTCACTACTGACAATTTGCTCTGGAAAATTTCTCACCGAGTCTTCCTTATTTTGGAACATTCATTTATAAGGCTTTTGCATTACCCTGGGAAACAGCACGCCAGGATTGCCAGGAAAAAAAAAAAAAAAAAAAAAAAAAAAAAAAAAAAATCTTTTTTTTTTTTTTTTTTTTTTTTTTTTTTTTTTTTTTTTTTTTTTAAAAAAAAAAAAAAAAAAAAAAAAAAAAAGTTGTACCTCTCCAATTTCCCAGTTCTAGATTAAATTTAAAGCAACCGGTATATTTGCTTGTCAGTTAAAACAAACTCTAAAATTATTGGTATCTCTGTTATCCTTCTACAGACATACCAGGCAATTCTCTTTCTAAACCAGCAAGGGTACCTTAAACCTTCAAGTAACTTCAAAGGTTTAAAAATCCTCCACTCCAAAAAGAATCAGATGCTTCAAATCATGGTGCTCAGGTTTAATAGCCCTGTGACATGCAAGAGGATCTGCCAGAGTTCAGGGAGTCCTACTGTGCCAAGGAGCTAAATAAGTAACTTATGGTGATTTTCCAGCCATATCTTTAATGTTATTTCAATATTGGTATTGCTCACTTGACTATCATTTAAATTTTGCTGCTATTTTTAAAGAGCTGCCTTGCTGTATAGATTTGAATCCCCCAACAACTCTAAACATAGAAAGCAGTGGGAACAAAGAATATCAGAATTCGCTGGCATTTCTATTTCGGCAATTTAACATCCCAAACTAGTCGCTATTCTTTAGAAACAACATCAACAAATCACCAAGAGCAATGCGATATTTGCACAATACATTTCAACAGGGGAAGAAGCTCTCTCGGGGGGAGATTTCTGTCCCTAAGTACCAGCCTTCTCACGCGAACCCCACCTCCTTTCCCTTTGCTGAAGAAAGCAGGTCTAGTAGTCCTAAAATAATTAAAAAAAAAAAAAAAAAAAAAAAGCCCAAACGCAAACCCTGACAACAGGAGCGAGCAGACCCGACGGACAGACGGCCGGGCAACTTCCCCCCCGCAGAAACCTACCGGCTTTTGCTCCTCTCTACTGAGGCTCCTGCGTTTTGTCCCAATTTAAGAACGCCACCAAAACAAGATTAGCCTTCCCGGTGGGGGAAAAATAATAATAATAAAAAAGAAAAAAAGATTGCCTGCTGCAGCCGGCCGCGGGCACGCCGGTATTTCCACCTTAAAAATGCAGAAACGCCGGCGTCGCAGGTCCCGGGCTGTCTCTCGAGTTGCCTTCAGGGTTACCAAGAGACGGCGGGGAGGGAGAGGAGGGAGGCAGGGAGGGAGGGAGGAAGGCAGGGAGAGAAGGGCGCAGGGAGGGAGGCCGGAGCCGAGCCCCGGCACGGCGGCAGCTCCGCCGAGTCACCGCCGCCCTGCCCGCCCAGCGCTGCCCCTCAGGCCGCCCATCCCAGCCCAGCCCGCCCCGCCGCTCCTCTCTGCTCCTCCCGCGCCCCGCCGTCTCACCGGGGAGGGCTCCTCAGGCGGAATCTCCCGTCCCGGGGGCCGAGGCCGGCCCGGGTGTGGGGACGGCGGGGCACCTCGGGGGTCAGACGGTCGGCACGGAGGTCAGAGACGGCACCCTCGGCTTCCACACAGAACTGAGTTTAGCGGCGTAACTCGCTGGGAGATGGCTAATTAATGACTCAGAAGCCGGCAGACAAAGGCGCCAGCCCCGTCCCCGCAGCCCCGACGGCCGCTCTCCTACGTCCCCGTGTCGCCACCCGGAGCAAACTGAAAGCGTGACCCCCACCGTTCCCGACAGCAGAGGGATAAGAAATCCCTCGCCCTTCGATTTCCCAGGCGTTAAGCCTTTCGTTTCACCTCCCGCGCCCCGCCGTCTCACCGGGGAGCGTTCCTCAGGCGGAATCTCCCGTCCCGGGGGCCGAGGCCGGCCCGGGTGCGGGGATGGCGGGGCACCTCGGCCCTCGGGGGTCAGACGGTCGGCACGGAGGGCAGAGACGGCACCCTCGGCTTCCAAACAGTACTGAGTTTAGCGGCGTAACTCTCTGGGAGATGGCTAATTAATGACTCAGAAGCGAACCAGAAGCCCATCCTGGAAGCAAGTCACGTGGGGACGGCGGGGCACCTCGGGGGTCAGACGGTCGGCACGGAGGTCAGAGACGGCACCCTCGGCTTCCACACAGAACTGAGTTTAGCGGCGTAACTCGCTGGGAGATGGCTAATTAATGACTCAGAAGCGAACCAGAAGCCCATCCTGGAAGCAAGTCACGGTGACTCAGTCCGTGCCCGCACGGCGTGAGCTCAGCCCCCCTCCCGCCTGCCCGGAGCCGCCCGGGGCTCGGCTGCCGCCCCGGACGCGCTGGGGAAAAGAAAGCACAAAGCGCAGCAAATACAAGGCATTAACAGCGAGTTACTGCTTATTCACACGCCTATCGGCGGACTTCATTAAAAGCATAGTTAACTTCTGTCCCAAAGCCACGAGCGTGCTGTCCCCTCCTGGCTGCAGGCTGTGTGTATGTGTGTGACAGCCCGCACCGCTGCACCCCACTGCCACAGGACACAACCATCAACTCACCGACCCCACACCTCCAAAATTAACTACACCTGCATCGCCAACTCGGCCAGATAACTTACAGAGTGGGAAATAACTTCAGAAGCTAAAATTTCTGTTGATGGAACGCCCATTGTATTATTCGTGTTACTGTTTTTAAGTAGAGCCAGTCTTTCGTCCCTTACGCTCAGTGATTTTATGGAATTGCATACACAGAAAACACAGGCATCTGGAAAGAAATTGTCATTTCAAGATGGCACGAGCTTTGCGGTGTGTTTTTGAAAGTGCTGCACAGCTGCGTTTATAATGCAGGGAGAACACTGCCATTTCTACAAACAAATTACAAAAATTGAGCTTCGTGCAGTGGGAGCTGACTTCTTATAGAATGACACAATAGAGGCTGAGTAAAGAAGGCATCCATATCTACAGGAGCTGAAAACAAATTATCATCTGTAAATTAATTGAACTCTTGAGTGTCTGAAACATCAGACAGGCTCAGCCTTACACTGTCTGGACTGGAGAAAACAAGAGCTTTACCAAGCACGGTGACTGGCAATGTGTCATATCCTCAATTACTGAGAGAGAGAACTGTAGACACGCTTGCATTTATCTTCCATTACCAGAACAGAAATTATCTGTTTGGAATAGCTTATTTCACGCATGAGATATAAATAAGTAGCACACACAGCTGAACGACACAGCGAGGCAGGCGCAGCTCCCACTGCAGTGGGACTGTGAGGATGTAACTGAGGAAAGACGGAGGCCTGGAATAACCATCGTTCTCAAAACAAAATGTATAATTAAAGGAAATACATCATGGCACACCAGCAGATCATACACCCATTTCTGAGGCTACCCCACACAAATATATAAAGAAATTATGACCACCATGAAATTATGATCTCATTTTTAAATACACGTTTAAATCTGAGGCAAGAGAAAGAAAGCTTTAATTATTTCTTTCAGATGGTAAACTGCATCAGAGTGAATGCAGTAATTTACAATTCTGACTTGCAAATAATGGAATAATCAGTATGTATCCTTCACTTACTTGCTCATGAAAGAAGGGAAATGTCTTTGACTTAAATGTGCAGGCTAAAAAAAAAAAGTTCTCAAAGGCTCCAACACATTTTTTCCTATGACAGAAACAAGACCTCCTTTTCTACCTCAATGGTGGTGGCAGTGGGTGTGGGGAAGCCCTCTCACTAAAGATCAGGAATCCCTGAATATGCAGTTTTGGGGGTGTTGTGGGCTGACATTTTTGGGAGCAAAACCAATGCAGTATATAGACCAACATATTTCACAACCTTTTTCTCCTGACTCTTTGTAACCAGGAAAAGAAGTTAATGAAGCTAAAAATACTTTCCTGCCTTCAGGATATTTCTAAACTGAATTATCTAGTTCAGCCAACTGTCCAAAACTTGTAATGTGCTTACATTTTCATTTTCCCAATTCAGGAGCAGGCGAACATTGAAACTACTGACAAGAAAAGGCAGGAGGTTATGTGGCATTATGGGGCACACACCTTCTATAGTATCTAAGGTGGCCTTTCGAGAAAATAAGGCAGGAAAAAAATGATTCAAGGTAATCATGCAAAACCATCAGTACTGCAAGATTACCTTTCGTTGATAGTATGATAATCACAAAACCACTGCTATTATTTTAAGTTCTTGCTACTCAACACAGAAGTTGCTTGACTGAAACTCATGCTTACAGAAAGTTCTACTGGTTGGAAGTGAACTTGTCTGGAGGTTACACATAACACTGTTCTTAGGTGGTTCTCATCGATTACAAGGCATCAAAAAATCCCTCGTGTGAGGATCTTAGTGCAACTGTCCCCAAAGTGCTTATACTCTGTATGTCTAAAATAACCTACCTCACTTTACACAGCAAATCAAGGAAAGAATGGAGCTGACTTCAGTAGTACAAGAATTTCCTTCAAAAACTTCTCTATCATTTCTCCAATTTAACCAATCATTATGTAACGCTTTACATATTTTTTTAAATTGCTTTTTAGCACTGGATTTTTCACTACATACAAGTAAGGAGATCAGTACATATTATTACTACATAAAATACTGAAATACACAGTTCCAGGCTTTTTTTCTTAATATTATCATTACTATGTAATGTAATTATGTTAATATTTTCTTAATTGTCTGCTATAAGAATTAAGCAAAAATACAAAATGAGACATATACCAGGCTAAGCAACAAGTCAGTGGTGAGTGGAAGAGAACACAGGTCCCTTGACTTCTGCAACAGGACTTGACACATTGGATCAACCACAAAGCACTTCAAAGACAAAGAGAACATACAAATGTGCACACCTCTTTCTTTGCTATGTAACAGCAGACACGAATGCTGAAAATAATAAGAAAGAATGAAAGTTTTTACTCTTAAGCTACTGAATCATTATCGTTATTTGCAGTTTGAAACAGACTACAGTTATACCACCTTTATTTTAGTAAAAATACTAAACTTCTGACTTTGATTTAGCAGTGTCACTCAATCTGTTATTGTTTACAGCACTGAAAAAAGATGTATGTTTATTACAGAAATCAGTATGAAATTCAGGAATTCATTTATGTAGCTAATTTTTACTGTAATGCTTTAAAATTAACCAAAGAGACGGTTCTTTTCCATACCAATGCTTGATGACAAATGCTAATCACTTTCAAATAATGTTTCAAGCCCTACCCTTGTTCTGCCATGGACATGTGGAAGTCAGGTTCGAGAAGTACCAAGGGAAAAGAAATGTCAATGATGCAGGCATTTTTTAAAAGTTAACAGATGGGCAAAGAGAATCTCTGATCAGTTCACTCTGTTATCAAGATGTGCTAACTCTTCCGTACTTATTAGACTTTTGCAATCATCCATTTCTCATAATATGATGTCAACCTATTATATATAGATTTCTTTTTTTTCCCTTATGAGTTGCATGAATAAAATATTTATAATTTTTACTCTCTGTGCTTATTCCTATCCTCCCTTTTAATACTAAGACTTGTAATTTTAATTATTTGGTTTGGGGATTTTTTTAGAAGTGAAAAAAGTGCTTGCTGTGTTTATATGACGGTGAAATAATGCGAGCCAGTCTCACTAATGAAGAGAGAGGAGGGCAGCAAAGGTTGAGTCAACACCTAAGTTGGGGTAGCCTTTTCTAGAGTGACACCTAGTGGGCCACATCTAGCTTTGGTCTCTCCTGAAGATTAGGAGGGCAGAAATGTCAAGATCCAAACATTCTGAGATGAAATTTTGTATTAAATTTTGTATTAACGTTGTCTCTGGAGATGTTCAAAACCCGCCCGGACAAGTTCCTGTGTAACCTGTTCTAGAGGAGGACCTGCTTTGGCAGGGGGGTTGGACAAGATGATCTCCAGGGGTCCCTTCCAACCCCACATCATTCTGTGATTCTGTGACCAAACTTCAGCCAGGCTGGTATTTGTAACTTCAGGACAGGAGGAGGAAAATTCTCCATGCCAGAGCCCGGGAAAGAAGCTGGGAGCCTACTTTGCTTGGGGACACAGAGGAGGACATCTGTGTTGTGTATCTGTGTTTTTAAAAATGGCTTATTTCCATACACTGTCAGAATGAAGAATTGCTTCTAAAAATGCCATTATAGTCAGAGCAAGACGATCAGTAAGTAAATAACTATAGTAATTACTATTCCTCCTTGTTCCCTATTGCTATCAGATATAGCCAGGAATTTTAGATGACTAGGCAGTATCGCCTATCTGACTGGTAGGTGCATTTGGCTCTTTGAAAGAGAACAATAACCTAAAACCACAGTGTTTTTTAAGAAAAATATAAACACAGATCATTCTTCCAGTACTATCCACAAGCAAGTAAAAAACCAAACCCTCATCTGCTTACACATGACAATCTAGAACTGGTGTAAAGGGAAGGCGGTGGGTAGTTTATAGTCTTTAAAATAAAAATCTTCTTGCTAGTTAAATGACATATTCACTGTGCAGCAGTGATTTTTTAGTAAAACCTCATATCCTTCTCTTTTACACTGCTCAAAAGAAAGGTATCAAAAGTAGAGTAGTTCCAATTCATCAATATTAGTAAATGAAACCTTTTGAATCCAGACCCAACTTTTACATTTGCGGCCACCAGTAACAAAAAATAGTAATGTCCTTGGTCTCAAATTCACCTTCTTTTAGTATCTTCTACTAGTAATTAAAGCACACCATTATGTTTCTCTTCTTTAGTAAAACCTGGATGTTTGACAAAACACACATTTCTCAGAAAAGAAAATCATATACTACACATCGGAATATCACCACACTTTAGTTATTTGGCTGTCAGATAATCTTATCTCTGTAACCACTGTAAGTGATTTATAATTCATGTATTCGGACAGGAAACGCATGATTCAAAAGGAAGCCCTTCTCCTGGAAAACTTGTTAATCATTTCTGCAGAGATACCTTACTATTCTAGGACTGCAGTCTCAGAGGAATGCACCTAGAACTTTGGCCTACACATGCAGCACAACACTTGAATGCTTTTAGCATATCAGTATAGTAACATTATACAACTTTAGCTGAAGCATTACTAAGAGTTCCCATCCACCTTATGAAACAAGAAATAATTTTATCACAAAATAGAAACAGAAAAACATTGTATCAGTCATGCTCTAGTCAGCAGTCTCTCAAGAACTCGTCTTTCTAGATGGAGTTTTCTTCTGCAGCTGTACTATCCAGTGTTGTACCAGTTTGAGAGGAAAATTAATGATGCTTCAAAACTAAAAAAAAAATAATTCTAACCCCTTATTCTTAAAATGCATGTAGTTAGCATTTGCAGGGCATTAGGCATAAGTTAGAACAGGTAACATATTTCACTAAAAAGCTCCAGACATCTAAATAGCATCTTGTGACTGGAGTCTGAAAACAGCCTTTTATCAGTGTGAACAGGACTTCTGCAAACAAAATTAAGCTTCCTGACTTGCTCACCCAGAGAGTATCACGCATCCATTCACGTGTCTCTTACAGACCGGAGAGAGGCTCTGGGACATTCAACTGATCACAGCATCCATCCAATTTTGAAGCTGATTTAGATACATGAGTTAATATATGAAATGAAAGTAAATAGGCACACAATGGGGACATGCTCATTTGGTTTATATGGGGTTTGGTTGAACTGGTGCACCCTCTTGTGGAAATCTCTTAAATCAGTATAAGCCATGTAGGCTTAGTAAGGCCAAGGCAACACTTAGCATCCTTCCTTAACTAACACGAGCAATACAAACTGATTCATATAATACCATATAAATTTTGAGATTTTTTTGAAGGTTAGTTCTAAGATGTTGATGATTCTGGAACACATGGATCCCACCACAAGGTAAGTAGTGATGTCTGAATGGCAGTGCTGTTTTAACTCCTTTACCCTGAGTCTTATTTAAACTAAACAGAATGGGAATGTTCCTTTATAATACAGTGTTGGCCAACTAAAATGTCAACAGTTCTAAACCAAACAGCTAGTTCTAGCTTACACATGGGTAATTCACTGCCTACATGCAAATAACGTCCAATCTTCAACCAAAAATTCCAATAAATTATAAAGAGACACCTGGAAGGTAATAGTACCATAATATTTTACATTTGAAAACACCTAAGAACTGCTCACAATAGCAAACCTTCATTAGAGCTTTAATTAGCCAGTAAAACACTGATTCTACAAAAACCTGCAATACCATTGAAAAGCTGAAGGTGTGAATAAAGATCTCAATAGACGTCTCTTCAAAAGGTCAAGTCTTATAATACAAAAGGGAGAGGTATTACAAATTTGACTTCCCTTTCTCTGCATGATTCAAACCTCAAGGAGGAAAATAGTTGCCTTCACAGCTTAAAAGTAAAGTAAATGAACAGAAGCAATTAACACCAAATTCAACATAACATTTTTCTTCTAAAGGTGCAGGAGATAAAGAAACAAAAATCTGAAACTGAGGAAATACTGTTAATGTTCAAATCCTCAAACTTAATTGTGCCTCTTGAAAATGGCAATAATAATGGAAATTATTCACAAACATATCATGTGCATCCAAGGAGCTAGGCAGAGTTCCAGATCAGCTGCAGCAACACAGTAAATTTCTAACCCTGATGAATGATATAAAACTACCTGGAAGAAAATGGGATGAGTCCTTCATTTTGCCTAATACATAGGTAATCAACCAGCTAGAAGAGACGCACACAGTGCTTTAGAAATCCTGCATGTCTTCCTTCGGTACTGCATGGCACGTAGGCTGTCTCAGTGCTGACTCCCAAAGCCTCCCTGAGGTGGGTATTGTGAGCAGCTGGATGGATAGTCTGCAGAACACATAAATAAAACCACAGCGTTAGATAATACGCAGAAAACAGAAAAATTATTGCTATATTCAGCAAATGTTCTTTGTCTGAAATAGCCTTAAGTGACTTTAAGTAGGAGAGATGCTCTGCTCTATGTTTTAGAACGAATTTACGCATTTGAAAGACTATTACTGAAGAATTATTGTGTGGGAGTACACTATGTGTTATTTCTAGAATTCAGCAGCCTGTGTGTTGCTGAATTCAGCATTCCAGAAGAATCATAGAATCATATGGGGTTGGAAGGGACCTCTGGAGATCATCTAGTCCAACCCCCCCACTGGAGCAGGTCTACCTATAGCAGGTTGCACAGGAACTTGTCCAGGCAGGTTTGAATGTCTCCAGAGAAAGAGATTCCACCACCTCTCTGGGCAGCCTGTTCCAGTGCTCTACTGCTCTCACAGTAAAGAAGTTCCTCCTCATGTTTAGGTGGAACTTCTTATACTCAAGTTTGTGCCCATTTCCTCTTGTCCTGTCACTGCGCACCACTGAGAAAAGACCAGCCCCGTCCTCCTGACACCCTCCCTTTAAGTATTTGTACGAATTAATTAGATCTCCCCTAACCCTTCTCTTCTCAAGACTAAAGAATATAGGATACTGCCTTGCTAGATTAATTCTGTTCATGAAGGTATTTTTTTTCTTTTACATTTCCTAAGGTTTTTTTAACTTAGGAAAAAAAACCATAACTTGGAAGAATTTCCTCTACTGTACAGGTCCAGGTTGAGTCTAGCCATGATTGGCTAGCTAGAAAACACAAAGCTAATTCTGTTTTCTGTGGATGGATTTATCTCCAATCTACACCAACATGAACCTGAATCATTTCTACTCAAAGCTAGCTCAAATCTGCCACTACGAGCAAGACCACCACGGCCATGTAGCTATGCTGCTGCTGAGAGAGTTCCATACAGCTGTGCAGAAGTTTTGTATTGCTTTCCCATACCATGGCCTTTACATTAAGCTCAGTAGATCCAACCTGGAGAAGTAGACCACTTCAGACACCTGAGTGGCTGTCCGTAGTTAGCCTGGCTCCTGTCCTACTCATTAGGTCTAGCTCCACACCAGGCTCCCTGGATCCAATGCAGCTGCTGCAGAGCACACCTGCACATATGTGGACCTGCTTCCCTGTGACAGATACCTGTGACAGGGCCAGGCTGGGTGAGATTGCTACCCCAGCTAGGAAGGGATGTCCTTCTCAGTGCTAGCACTGCTACACCCAGCCTGACTCATACAGAATCCTCAGTATTAGTATTAATTGGATTTCCTCTTACCTCCAGACTTTTCATTAAGTATACCTGAGCTCAATCACTACCTAAAGCTCTAAAGCTGGCTGGACATGATTCCTATGTACTTCTTTCTGTAGAAAACATTACAGTGAAATGGGTATTACCATGATGATTTCAAATGTTTGTGATGTGCAAGGCTAGTCTGTGCTACATATGATTACAAATAAACATTCAGAAGATGAAGTAGTCACAAATAGCTGCTTTTATTCATTCACCTACTTCAGTTTCTAGTTCATCCTTCTTACTTTAGATACTAGTATTTTAGGAGCTGTCAACACATGGATGGCCAACTCTTCTGACTACACATTACAGGCTAAAATTTTCCTACAGTTAAGATCCAGAAGACATTTGCTGAACTCAAGGGTGCAGGAATGTGAAACCCCAGAGATAACTCACAGGTGGAAAGTGATACCAACCTCGAGCTCCTCCCACGCTGCTAAAGGATGGAGCAGTAGTGGGTGGGTGGGTGCCAGGATGACACATTTCAGACTCAGAAATCCCATCTGGCTGACTTCCTCCCACTAACGGGGATTCTAACTGCTGAACTGGACTGGCATAATCCCACTGCAGATCACCTGATATATCCCTAGTGTGGGGACTACATGTGAACCACTTATAATCTGCTTGCTGTGTAAGAGACACAAGCTGACTATCCCACACTTAAATGATTGTTTCTGATTGCCTGGCATCCTTTGTGCGTAAATATATAATCACAGGCAGCAACTAAATGGATGGTCCCAGACTTGACTATGTAACCAGCAACAAACCTGGGCCCTACACCTGTGCTTCACTGCTTCAAGTCACATCCTCAGCTCATTTTGCCATCCCCTTCCCTACTGATTTTCTTCACAGACACAAAACACAGTGTGGTAGGTCTGCTTATATTAAAGGCTTGTTCTTTCAACTTCCTCAGCCTCCCCTCGTGTGGCCCTTGTGCTGAAGCATTAAAGACACAGCTCCCAGATGGACTTTCACCCTGTATTTCTCCACCACGTCACAAAAAGCCTGTGTCACCTGTAAGAAAACTTATAGCATCTCCATGTTAGGTGCCACACTCGGAGCTGCACATCTAGAAGAGTCCTCCTGAAGAGGTGAACCAGTGGCCTCCACACAACAAAAGGCTTGACTGCCATCCCTGGATCACAGCTGGTTGGAAAGCTGTCACATACATGTGCAGCCTCAACTTGCACAAACCTCCACAGCACCCAAAACAGGGAATTTTGTGCTTGACCACATTAAAAGGAAGAGATGTGCACAAAGACGAAATAAAATACCTTAATTTTGTATTTCCTGCTTTCAGATGCTTTTATTTGGATTACCTGCAGGATATGCCTGCAGATCTCAAAGCAACCTGGGAACCGGGCCTTGATGTTTGAGAAACAGATGCCCTGAATCTTGAGTATTAGATTCACTCTTACCTGCAGAGTTTAGTTATTTTCCAAATATTGCATTTGATATTTCTTTTCAAACATGCAGTAAGTTCCATACTCTATCTGGGATAAATGCTGAGCAAGCCAGCCCCCTGAGAATCTATTAATAGACATTATTTCACTCATTTGGCCTACACACAGAAGGACCTATAAACCAAAATTCTGAAAATGCTAAAGGAGGAAACTGGAGCAAATGAGACCATTTCAAGGCACCAAAAATGGGTCACATATGCTACACTGAGCTCCCTTCATATACAGTAAGTGTCACAGAAATCCAGCAATTTCCAGCTTTTAGAAATTAAAGGTGAGCATAGCAATCCATTATTTCAGTGCAGTGCTCTCAGCAGGTAAAAGAGAACAGCTCATGCAGCAACAGCACTGGATAATGTACTCTGCTTTGTTCACCTCAGCAACTATTGCAACTATCTTTCCTTTTCCCAAGACAGAGAAGGATAACAAATGTTCTCCCCTTAGAGAGTCACACATTCACACCCAGATAAGAACACACTCCAGCTGTGATAGCTGTGCTCTTTTGAGGGCTACGTTCTAAAACAGATCAATGAACTGATTTGGCTGAAAAATAACATAGCCAGATTATGTCTCCAATTTTAAACCTCAGACACCACAGAATGCTTAAAAAAAAAAAAAAGCAGAGCACACAGAAGAATTTAAAAGCTTCTTATCCACCTAGTTCACACTAAGATAACAGAAGCTGCTCAGTTTATGAGCGTCACACATTTATTCAAAGAAGGTTTTTCTTTTGTACTTCAACAATCACTGATCAGCTGATCTAAAACTCAGAACACTAATTCCCTCCTGCATGATAAATTTCAAAACACCCAAGTAAACATGGGGATTTCAGAATATCAGAAGAGTTCAATTTTGAACAAAGAGGGGTTTTTCAATCTTAACTATAGTGAAGCTTTTGCTCTGTTCTAATTTAATTCTTGGACATAGTTTTACTCCACTGACTCTAAAACGAATGCCATTGAGAAAGTTAGTTTGAATCTAGATTTAGACATGAATGTGAAAACCTAGCAGTTTTCAAAACTATGGAATTCATTTCCCAAATAAAAAGTGTTGGAAAGGAGAAGGAGGTTTCCTCCATGTAAGAGGAAACATGGAAAGAAATCTGTCCAGATCTCTTCTAGCTAGAATGAGGAGAATAAACAATTTTCCCTGATAATTGCCATAGACAGCTGCAAGATTAAGTTGCAGTCAAAAACTTTTTAGACTGTATCTATACTACTAGGAAGTGTTTTCAATTTCAGTGAATTACTTAAGGTAAAACAACAGAGTAAACAGAGGTCATCCAGATATGTGAAGTGAAATGGTTCAGCTAGAACAATTAAATAGGGCAAAAGGAAATGATCACCCCCAGAGGACTTGGCAGTGAAATAGTTACTGAAAGCAAATAACAGATATCGCTTCTATACTTAACAAAAACCCTTTTAGAGAAGCAAACAAAACCAGAATGTTGGTAAATAAGCAGTAAAATTAATGGCTGCAAGGTCAGCCAAGTTTTTGCTTTAGATGTAGATTCACAATGTAGCTGGACATGGAACATGAAAAGGGATTTTCATACGAGTGGGATCATTCCCTTGGCTGCAGTATGATTTAAACTAAAATCCATATAGTACTAGCATATAGATAATGAATAATAAATTGAAAAACATGCAAGAAACTGCACAGATGCTTCAACTCCACAGTAAAACATCAAATCCAGGGTAAATACCGACATAAGGCCGAAGGCACAAAATCCTTGTTGGGCTAACTTAAAAAGACGAAAACATACACACCCCGAAGTATAATAAAATACACACCACTGGTACTGTTGAAAAAAGCATGCCCAAGCATCTGCAGACAACATCAAAGAAATGAGACTCTCCTTTTCTAAAAGACAGCTGGACTCATTGCTGTCTTACATACTATAAGCGGTTGAAATAAACAATTTTAAAATGTCAGGTATCTCAAATGTATCTCTGAAGATTTACTCTGACAAACTAATGTTACAAAAGCAAAGAACAGAGAGGGTGTATCAAAGTCCATGTTGAGAACATTTGTTTAGTTATAGAGATATTAAGGGTATGCACTAATTCCACACAGCACAGAATGTTCTGCATTACTTTTACGAACACGAATTGTACAGGAACAGAGATCAGTTATAATCACCACTGGGTAACATGTATTTTAATCACAAATATTATTTTCTGTGGGACCCTGAGAAGATTCTTGCCAGTTAGTATTTCTTTTTGATACAACTGGTACTGCTGGAATGTGATAGTGATCACTGTCTTGAAAAAGACACATTTCTGTCTGAAGGTTTTTGAGAATTTTTCTGTTAAACAAGATGTCAGCTACTACAGTAACAAACAACAGAGCAATTCACTTAGCCATAGGAAATACTGGAATGTCCTAGTATTAACACTAGATGACAGCAAAAATGGTCTGTTCACACACAATGTATTAATCTCAAGGGACTTTTTTCCACAGGTTTTGCAAGCTAAAGGCCAGTTATCAAGAGCCGTTTAATTAGATTAGGATGACTGTATACCCAACCAAGCTGTAAGAGGTTGTAATCTTTTCAGTAGAGCAATGCCAAGAAAGAACCATAGCTCAAAGCAACACAGAATTTTCAATATGGTTGAGAAGTTTTACTCGCAGAAACAATCTCTGTGTGTTCCCAAGGGTTTAGGCAGGCAGAGCCAGGCAAGCGTGATCAGAACCTGACAGAAAGGTCACTGTATGCAACAGTAAGAAACATGGCAAATGTAGTCTGCAAGAACTGCTACACAAGATTCTGTACTATGTTAATTTGATGGAATGCATAAATAAAAAGAGGGAGAGAGAGAAATAAACGGATGTTCAGAAATTTACTAACCAACCACCTGTAACAATCATGATGTTCAAGACTGTTGGCTACGTAAGTACAGCTACATAACCTCTGGCACCCACCTTGGGAATACCCAACTCCTGCCACCCCACACACAGTCCAGATATCAGTTACATCTGTGGTATTCCTGCACCGACCTCCTGGAGACACATGGCAGAAAAGGAACCATTACCTGGTCAAAACAACTCCATATCACTGTATTGCTCTTTGCTACTGGAGTTACAATGACTCACAGCTCTCCAGTCCCAGAGCATATATTCCAGGCACTGTTAAGATGCCAGAAAGACCCACCACAACAGCTTCCCGGTTCTGTTCTTGACCCACCTGAAGTTGCTCCCAATCTGTGCTCTCTTACAGGAGTTTCCCCTTCTGCACACAAGGGATTCTTTCAGGATTTCAACACCTAAAGGAAGAGATGGCACAAATTAACCAACTGAAAAACCCCTAGTAATAAGTTATGGACTCATTAGGATTGTGGTTTGATTTGTTCTTTTGTAAGATAGTCATATTAATGAAAACCATTTTAAACCTTGGGACATTAAGATTCATATTAGCAAAGAAAATGACAAATAAAACCTTGCTGAAGAGCAGACTTATTTACTGTTAATCACCTGCTTTGGAGTTGCTACTTTTCAATCCAACACAAATGTGTTTTGGAGTCTACACTTCGCACAGGTAAGGGGCAACAATAAAACAGACCAAAAAAAAAAATTCTGCTAGGAAATGCACTGTCCTCATCTAAAATTTTAAGTTTGGTCCAGCTTAGAGATTTAGAGAAAAAGCGACTGCAGTAAAGATAACCCTTGTATTTCCACTATATTTATCACTGCTTCTGTGTTTTAGGAAAAAATTTGGTAAGAAATGTATTTCATAAGTTACAAAATAACAGCATTAATATTATCAGAACTTTTGCTTTTGGGTCATGGAGCCATTGTTCCTCTGATTTTGATGCCTGATGTTCCCAACGGCTTCTGAATGAGGATTCAGACAAGGTGCAGTCAGCACAGTGCAGATTTAGGCACCTAAACAAAACCTTGAATTGTTTTGACAGAAATCGGTGGCCCAATTTACTTTTGGGGAAGCAACTATGACATACTTAAAGTGAGTATGAAGCTTCAGTGACAGTTTTGTTGTATGCAGGGTTCTGCTTAAAAATACAGTTTGCTGGTGCCAGGATTTTTAAAAAAGCGAACTGCTCATTTGTTTTTTCAAGAAAATCTTTCATCATTTCACTGCCTAGAACAACGTCATACTTCATCTTAATGGAGAGACAGATAGTCACCAGGAAGATTTTGTTCCAAAACAACAGCATCCTTCCCATGTAAACCCAAACCAAGAACAAAAAGTTAACTTTAATTACACCACAACACAAAATAAGTTTACCCAGACAAGTGGAAGGAAGAAATCTGTGCAAAAACAGAGTCAAGGGCTACATCTGAATCTTGAAATAATCTTTCCCATGAATTCCAACCACTTCATAAAACTCCCACAATGTTCTTTAATAGCAAAATTCTTATGATGGGTGACATTGATCAAGTAGTGGCTTTATCTCCATTGCATTCATTTTTAAGGTGTTTTACAGAGAAACCAAGACTGATCACACCTGGGTGCATACCATCCCCAGTACAGATTTCAGAATGCCATCTAGTGGGCAAGCAGCAGTTCCCACCAGTGGAGGCCAGAAGTGGCAGAACAGGTCGATATAACCCAGAGATGTGGGGCAAAAGGAATAGAGACATTGGAAGGAAGATGTACCCATATGTTTCATGTAACAGATACTCATCAAAAAGAAATAAATCAGCAGCAGTCAGGCATGTTTGCAAGTCCAGTGAAATACACACATGCATCTTTAGATGGAATACCCATCACTGGTATGTGGCTTGTGGCATCGCTCCGGACCGCGGGTGGGTACCACTGCCCGTATGATGAGGAGCAGGGAATGGATGGGGGGAAGGCTGGCTCCCCAGCTGCACACAGGCACGGCTGCCATCAATTGGTACTCACGGGTGCTCCTGCTGGTATTCAGAGCTCCTGCACCTCATCAGAGCGGCTGATGTGTGGGATAACCCAGCTTGGGAATCCCTGCTGCAGGCGTGTTTCCAAGCCAAGAAGGAAGGTCTCGCTAGCAGAAGTGTAACTCCCATAGCTGCCTGTAGATGACACATTAGCAGTATCATTCTGCTAGCATGCTCTGCTCAATACCCTTTGCATCATGGAAATCCACTCAGTTGGTCTTGGAAATTTATTACAAGGTCAAACAGTAGAGTCTTACTGCACTTAAACTTGTTATAAAACTCTATCATAATGAATTATGCCTTTTGATTGTATAAATTTATCTTCATTTCCAGCTAGCATTTCCTTATTGCATGCATCTCATATCTTTTCTTGCAAGGAAAGAAAAGTAACTGGGGAAGTTAATTGGGAATTATTTTAACTAAATTATAAAAAGATACATGCTTTGTTAAATGAAGTTTCCTCAAAAACATTAGAAATACTAAGGAAAAAGCGCTGTCCCAAGAGACAAGGAGTGCTACAGTCACCCCAGGACACTGGGGCAGCCTCCCTAAAGCTCTGTCACACCGGCAAGCCCTCAGCACTCTCCAGCAAGACGCTACTGTCAAGCCCCAAAATTTCTGTGCTCTCCCTCGTGCTGTTATCACTAACTGTGGTGACAAAATCCCTGTGGGCACCGCCTGTGACTCCCCAGGCTGGGGTGTGTCAGGGACAGATCAGGCAACACTTCCAAAAGTTAAAACAATAAGAAAAATCCCAGAGGAAACGCACCGGTTCCCCACGGTGTTTCGCCGCTTCCCAAACTCCAGCCGTTACCGGGAGCCCCGCCGGGAGCGCGGCCTCCGCCGCCCCCTCCACTACTCACTTACCTCGGCCACCGGGGCCCGCAGGCCGCGGCCTCCCGGGAGCTGGGCTGGGCGGCGCCGCCCGGCAGCCCGGGGCGGGGGGCGAGCTGGCAGCGCACCGGGGCGGCCGCGGGGGAGCAACGGCCATAACGGCTGTAACGGTCGTAACGGCCGGGAGAAGCGGCACCTGCCCGTCACCCGGAAGTGCTGTGGGACCGGCCTGCTCCCCCTCCCCTTGCAGGGCCCGACCCGGAAGCGGTCGTAGGAGCCCCCCCCCCCGGCCCCCCAGCTTTGAGGGGACCCCGGGCGGGACCATCTCGGCTGTGTCCGTGCTGCTTTATAAACCCCCTCGAGTTGTAAGATTGTTTCCGCTCCAGTTTGGCAGCCCCGATGGGACCGTCTCTGTCCCTCTGCAGGACCTGCTGAGGACCGGACTCCTCTGGGCGCCCCCGAGATTCCTCGGGAGGACTCTCCCATCAACCAGATCACTGCGGGATAGACGGGGACCATCAATTGATGCAGCAGGTATGTTTTAATTGTAACGAAGGGGATACCTGTAAGTCCTGAGGAGACGTCCTACGGAAGGTAAAGAATCTTTGTACTCCCCCCAGGGAAAGCTCAAGCTTGGGTTAGTGGTGAGATAAATGTATCTCAGCTCATGGTAATTTGGGATCCCTTAGTTCTGACAACAGTACTTGCGTGTGGTGTTGTTATAATCATTGTTATTTGTTGTGTATGTTGTAAGAAACCAATACCATGTTTTTTCCTCTGAGTGATGTTGTCTGCCATAACAACCCTTGTGTGATTGATACGAGTGACTGAGACAGCGTTGCTGTGAAGGGAGTGTGGAGTTCTGATTCCTGGCTCCGCGTTCCCCGTGAGAGAAGTGGCTGGAGATGAACGAAGCCCATGACACACCATAAGGAAGCGTTGTTCGATCCAGGTGTTGATTGGGAATGTCCTCTACACAGGACCGAAGGTGTATCCTGTAATCCTATCTCTGTTATAAAGTGTTTTGCTCGTGACGAGGAGGTTTGGGTAGACTGGGGGGCCAATTTCTGGTGTCCTCAATGTGGGAACTGGTCAGACCGGGAAAAGATTGAACATTTGGGAGAACTAAAATGAGTAATTTGCAGAAATTTGGACAGTGTTAAGAATCAATAATGTACTAATGTATGGGAGGATTGGCAAGAGGTCATACCCTCTCAAGTCCCTGGAGAGGAGCTGGTACTAATGCCTGTCCGTTGTGTAAACGGTGCTGTTTATTCCTAAGGACTATATAATAAGCTTACAGAAACAGCTCCAGGAAGTAGAGAAACTGGTCTTGGGAACTAGAGCTCATGGGTTGGACAGACCAGTACATAATATTGAACCCAGACATTATGTATATGTTAAGTCTTTTGCAGATTCACCGTTGAGGCCGAAGTGGGAAGGTCCCTTCCAAGTACTACTGACCTCTCATACAGCTATAAAAATCAAGGACCGAGCATCCTGGATCCATCATACCAGAGTTAAGAAAGCCCCTAAACCACAATGGAAGTCAACATAAGCCAGACCTTTGAAACTACATATTCAATGAAAAGATGGACGTTAATCATTGCCATCATGGGGTTATGGTCAGGAACTGTGGGAGCATGGGATCAGAACTCATACGTACAAATGACCAAATCGGTAGTAGATAGTTTGAACCTCTCTGACTGTTGGGTGTGCACAGCTCTCCCCAAAGGAAATTTAGAATTTCCACTCCTTGGAATACCAGTGTCTTACGCGAATTGGAGCTGGCCTTATGACAATCTAAACAATTCTACTCCACCTACAGGGGACAGTATTTTATGGAAGGTGGGGGGTGGCTGTGCTCCGAACCAAAGACAATCCCACCTCCCTAATGGTGAAACTCTTTGTTGGGGGCACCAGAGTCCAATACCTCCAAAAGGCCACGAAGTTCCAAGATATACCTGTGGGAATAGTAGTATCTACCCACTTAAATTTGATCTGCAAATATTGGAAAGGCCAATATTCATAAAGAGACACAATGATACCGCCCCAAAGGTTGGAGATTTTAATCTTGACTTAACTGCAGATCTTAATGGGACTATATGTGAAAGGGGGAGGACCATCAATGAGAGCCATGGCGGGTGTCCACAAGCAGTGATAATAGCATTATGGCTCAATTATTCTTATAGTTGTATTCCTGATGGAGTCTGGTGGCTATGTGGGGATGGGCATGCTAGAAAATCATTACCTGACTACTGGGATGGGGTCTGTACGTTAGGATATGTGATTCCCCAGAATAGAATATACAATCACTCGCATCTTCCACCAGGAATTATGCGGACACACTGGCGGAAAGTACGCGAGATCCCAAATAATCCCCTTGCAGAAAGGCCCTCAGCTTTTCATAGCTTTGCGAGATGGCTTTTTGCCCAATTAGGAGTAAGCGAATTAGAAAAGGCTATAGTAAATATTTCAGCCACTATGGAAAAAATTGAGAGTCTTACTGTAGATGCTATCCAAGGACTACAAACCGAAGTATCATCCCTTGGTAAGATGGTTCTACAAAACCGTATGGCCCTGGATTTAATCAAGGCAAAAGAAGGAGGAGTCTGTTTAATAATAAACCAAAGCTGTTGTTCCTATATCAATCAAGAGAAAAGAATTGAGACAGACATAGCACGGATTTGGCAACAGTCAAAAGTATTACATCAAGTATCTCAAGATGACACTTCACTTGGCTCCTCTGATCTTTGGGAAAAATTAACCTCATGGCTACATAATTTTGCTTGGCTTGTTTTATTAATCACAATAATTGCTTTAGGATTTACAGTTTGTATTTTATTTAGATGTTTTCCATGTTGTGCCAAAAGGGCGACAGATGATTATGAATTATGGAAGAAGCATCAACTCCGTCAGAAAATTGAGTCAGGAAAATATTTTAAGAAGTGTTTAGAGAAAGAAAGTATTTTGTAAGAGCAAGTAAATTAATTTACTAATGCATTAGGAAAGGGGGGAATTGGAGCAGGAGCCAGGAACTAAGGGTAAAGCTATAGAAAAGTTACTTAAGAAACATGTATCTTTAGCATGCCAATAGGAACTATATGGTCTGTTGCACAAGATAACAGGAACTTTGAAGCTGAAGTTAGCAGAACACACCTGTCGTGCCTTCAGGAGATGTTCCAACTCATCAAAGGGAAAAAGTTCACCATGAAGAAGACTCGGGGCCTTCCTCCCAAAGACCCCCAAAGGAGATCACCAGGAGGCAGTACGCATACACCCAGAGCAGGAGACATATTTTAATAAATTCCTGGAAACAATTAGAATAATCCCACCTATTCCCAGAACTAATTGTAATAGCCCATCCCCTAACCTCATATATGTATGTTTTGTGTTATAAATCATCCCCTGTTTTGAGAGGGGGTGTGCAAGTTAGGAGGAGAAATCCCCCTTGCACCCGGTGCCGTAATAAACATACCTGTTTATAACTCCCCTCGAGTTGAAAGGTTTGTTTCCACACATCAACTTCAACTAAATTTTAAAAAGATATACACTTTGTTAAATGAAGTTTCCTCAAAAACATTAGAAATACTAAGGAAAAAGCGCTGTCCCAAGAGACAAGGAGTGCTACAGTCACCCCAGGACACTGGGGCAGCCTCCCTAAAGCTCTGTCACACCGGCAAGCCCTCAGCACTCTCCAGCAAGACGCTACTGTCAAGCCCCAAAATTTCTGTGCTCTCCCTCGTGCTGTTATCACTAACTGTGGTGACAAAACCCCCACCGTCTGTGGCTCCCCAGGCCGGTGTGTGTCGGGGACAGATGAGGCAACACTGCCATAAATTGAAACAATAAATAAGAAAAATCCCAGAGGAAACGCGCCGGTTCCCAAACTCCAGCCGTTACCGGGAGCCCCGCCGGGAGCGCGGCCTCCGCCGCCCCCTCCACTACTCACTTACCTCGGCCACCGGGGCCCGCAGGCCGCGGCCTCCCGGGAGCTGGGCTGGGCGGCGCCGCCCGGCAGCCCGGGGCGGGGGGCGAGCTGGCAGCGCACCAGGGCGGCCGTGAGGGAGTCAACGGCCATAACGGTTGTAACGGCCGTAACGGCCGGGAAAAGCAGCACCTGCCCGTCACCCGGAAGTGCTGTGGGACCGGCCCGCCCCCTCCCGGGCTGGCGGGGCCCGACCCGGAAGCGGTCTCGTGTAGCGCTGACGGTGCCACGGTCCGCGTCCCGCCATGGCTCCCAAGGGCGGCCCCGGCGGGCGGCAGCAGTCGGAGGAGGATCTGCTCCTGCAGGATTTCAGCCGCAACCTCTCCGCCAAGTCCTCCGCGCTCTTCTTCGGCAACGCCTTCATCGTCTCCGCCATCCCCATCTGTGAGCGGCGGGGGAGTCCCGGGGCAGGGGGGGGATGGTGATGAGGGTCCCTGAGGCGGGGGGCAGGCCCTGAGGGGAAGCTCAGGGCGGACAGCAGGCCCTGAGGGAGGCCAGGGCCTCCTGACAGCCCCCCTCGGGCTCCTGGCCCGCTGCCGGGTGCGGATGGGGGATCTCGGGGCTGCCGGTGCTCGCCTTGCCCCCCGCCCCGACCAGCTTTGAGGGGACCCCGGGCGGGATTATCTCGGCCGTGTCCGTGCTGGGTGAAACCCGGCTTCGAAGCCGGTCCCGTTTGGAGCAGCGAGGGAGGGTGGTCGGTCTGTGGTTTTAAAGATGGTCGAGGTGGAGTACTGACGTGTCAGCAGCAGCGCCGGGGGAGGCTGGCGGGCTGTCTGCGCCGGGCCGCTGCTCGGCAGGGTCTGACCTGCTCTCCTCGGGCCCCTTTCAGCCAAAAGCAGGTTTCTCTGTTCGAAAGTATTTTTTAATGCAGTCCAGAAACCTCCAAGTGATTTTGCAGGAACTGGGTTTGGTCTGGCAGAGCCAGTGCTGAATTACAGAGCTCATAAGCTACATAGGATTCCTGCGGGGGCATTTCTCTTGGAAAAAAACCTACTCAAAATGTCTTTTTTTTTCTTTCTTTTTCTTTTAAGGGCTTTACTGGAGGATATGGCATATGGATCTTGTTCAGTCCGCGGTCCTGTATAGCGTAATGACCCTCATCAGTACCTATCTAGTAGCTTTTGCCTATAAGAATGTCAAGTTTGTTCTCAAACACAAGTAAGTTTGGTCGCTGTTTGAAGTAGAATTTCATATTAAATAGTTTAATAAAACCAACATTTACAACTCCTTTTTAATGAGTAAGAATGTCTGAAATGTTTCTCCAAAAACTATTTTAGAAGTATAGATGCAGAAGTATCTCCTAATTGTTTTGTCATCTCACTTGTAATTATGGAATAAGCTAGTCTTGTTGGCTAAGAGTATGCTGAAATAGCAAAACTACCTTTGTTCTCAGTGGGTGCTGCCACAAACTATATTTGACTAATGCTTTTAGTAATTTGATTACTACTTGTTGTCCCCTTCAGTTTGCAGTGTCTTGGCTAAGTTTTATTTCTCACTGCAAATACAACTTCCTATAACCCTGGGGGTTTTTTATTTTCATTTTCCAACTTCAATGGTGTTTCTTACAGAGTAGCCCAGAAAAGAGAAGATGCTGTTTCCAAAGAAGTCACTCGCAAGCTGTCTGAGGCAGACAACAGGAAGATGTCTCGTAAGGAAAAGGATGAAAGGTAATCCTCTTTATTCTCTTGTCTCCTTTGTAATACTGCCTGGTATCTTTGAGACTCTAGGCAGGATGTTAGGGACTGTTGCTTGAATGTTGTTTTGTTTTCTGTACATGCATCTAAGGGGTACAATCTCACAAAACACATGATTTATAAAGCACTAGGTTTGATGTGCCTGGTAAAAACAAAGCATAAGTCACTCAAGGGTACGAGTGCATAGCATATGCAGGGTTTTGTCTTTAACTAGTGAGTTGACTGGTAGTTCTTGCTGCGCTCTGTCTTTTGGAAGCTGGCTATGACATGAGCAGCAGTATGTGATTCACTGCACCTCTGGGTGTCAGTCACTTCATAATGGTGGGTGTGACAGGATGTACGTTCATTTAAATATGTTTGAAATAATGTCTCTACTTGTTCCTAGAATTCTGTGGAAGAAAAATGAAGTGGCAGACTATGAAGCAACAACTTTCTCCATCTTCTACAACAATACTCTTTTTCTGGTCTTGGTCATCATTGCTTCGTTTTTTGTGCTGAAGAACTTCAACCCCACTGTGTATCCTTTATTACCATGCTTGAAACAAACCCAGTCTTTTTCCTACTTGTTGTTGTTAGTAGCTGAATTTGTCATGTCAGTTGTGAGATTACTTTGTTGATACATGCAGTTTGTTGTAGTACCTCAGCTTAGGAACACTCCAACATAAAAATAGAGAATACAAAAAAAAGATCTCCCAATCACATAAAAGCTTTACATCTGACACGAGATGTTTTAAGGATATCCCTTGGACAATATACAGGAATTCCTGTGGCTTTGCCATTTCCATTGTAATTGTGAAATGAGGAGGCAGGTCATGTTCTTACAGAAACACTGTCAGTTTGAGTTGCCAGGTGCTCTTACCTTACAGGATTGCTTAATTTCAGTAACTATAGAAGTAAAAAAAGTACTGCCAATCAGGACCACATATGTTAATGGAAGTTCTGCAGTATTGAGCAGTATTTAAAACTACTTTTAAGAACAGGCTAAACTCTACGGATGACATAATTTTGAAGTTAAGTACATTTCAACATCCTACTAACAGTCTTGATTGTCAGCTGTATTTCAAGTTACAATATTGCCATTTTAAAACTCTTACAGAGAAAAACCATTTCAATTCCCTCTTTTTCATAAAACTTCTGCTAAGTGTTCCATACAAAAGTAGTGGTTTCTTTACAAGTACATGTCCTTAACCTTTTCTCTGCAGCAATTATATTCTTTCTATAAGCGCTTCATCTGGACTGATTGCCCTGCTCTCTACAGGATCCAAGTAGACAAAAAAATCCCACCAGTTTATTTCTGTGAGAGGGTTCAACTGCCATACAAACGTTTAAAGGTGGAATGGGAATCCCTTTTTTTAATAGTGTGACTGCTTGAGAGTATGTGGGGGGGAGGGTTTGAATCCAAAACGACTGAATTATATTTAGTTTTGGTATCTTTACATGGTATTATTCAATAACTGAGCAATTTTTTTTTTTTACTTAGCAATGAAAGGAAATGGTGTGTGAGCAGTTACCAGCCCACCTTTGGGAAGCACTGCTGGGTGTGATGGTACTGCAGGCCTTTAGCCAAGCACACCACAGCAGCACAAACGGTTGTCCTTAAAACCTGTAACAGAATTCCCCTGGGAGTTTGGTGACTGGTATAAGAGCCAAACTCCCTCATCATAAAAAGCGACAATCCACCATTTACCATTGTAACTTGAGAAGTTTTAATAAAAAGGAGGCTTTTTGTCATTTAATTAATTGTATTTCATTTCTTAATTTTATTTTTTTTTTTTTAAAAGAATATTTTCATGGGCAAGCAGCGTGTGTAGCTTTGTGGACTCTTTCTGCTTCCAGAAGAGAGGAGTCTTCTGGAAGTCACAACATATATATTGTTTTCATTGGAAATACTCTTCAATTTTCAGTAACTTGAGAGTTAGGACAAAACTAAGACTCTTAGAAAAATGCTTTTGAAGTGGTTTGATCATACTAGGTTGTTGGTTGTTTTTTTTCTTTTTCATTCATCTCAAAAGTTGTAAATAAATATAAAAAACCCCACTTGCCGGTTTTCCTGGCACAGCTTAACAAAAATGCTTTAGCTGGCTTTTATAATGGGTTTATCAGACAATCCTTTTCCTTTTTTTCATGCTATCAGTAAAGCAGCTGTTATGTTAAAAGCTCTACTACTGTTGATAGAAATGCATTGTGGAAGTTGCAACTATTGCCATTACAGATTCAGAATCCTAAGCAGGGAAGAAAGAGAAAGCTTAGTCAGATTTAATGTAGCAATTACTTTGGTAATCTTTAGTTCAATAAGATTTGTATTTATGTAAAATGAAGACTCTGAAGTGCAGGAAACTGTATCTGGCTTGCCTTACAGTATGCTGAGTGTGTAATGCCTCTGTTTCTGACAAACACAACCAAGACAGTCTCACAAAACTGTTACCTGATTACCCAGTGCCTGCTGACTACTACACTACTTCTCTCTCCAGCATCCTTTGGGATTGGGGTTTGGATGAGGGTCCTAAATCTCAACATGCCACTGCATAATTTACTTTTACTTCCCAGTAAAGGTAATAGTGTTCACGTGCTTGCATCATAAAAATTCCAGTGGGTTTGGTGCACTTTAGAGCTGCCATTGAAATTACTTTTCTGGTCACTCATTTAACACTCTTCAAATTAACTTGATTGTTTTCCCTCAAAATACGTGGAGTTTTCTTTATCACTTCTGCCTGCTTATTGACTACTGAGGGGAGACTTGCTCCTTTCAATATATTGCTGGTACCTGCCTTTCATAATTTTACTTTCCTTGGCCTGTCACTTATTATAAAGGGTATAATTTGTATGCATTTAGTCTAAGTATTTAGCACATGTAAAACAAATTTCTAACAAACTTCTATAAATGGTCAGAATCAAACATGAGACTAAGTTGACTGCTCAGTTGCTGTTTTGCTCATCACTGGAGATTTGCTCAGCTCCTACCAAAAATACACAGCACTTAAATTCAGGCCCATGAGCAGACAACACTAATGTACTCATTTTAGTTGTCAGTGTTGGTAGGGATAAGAGTGCCCTGTCGGGTGTTTCAGAAGGTGGCAGGCGTATTTTCCAGGAACTCTGCCGTCTAGAGAAAAGTGATTTGAAGCAGCGCTTTCTTCTGCTATTACTGTCAGTTCGCTGAGTCTTTTATTAACAGCTTTTCATCTTACCTTAGTTTTCTGCTGTTGACAGTTGCTGAGGCCTGGAGCATCGCGTGTGTCAGAATTTTCTGGGGAGAGAATGTTGCAGCATTGACAACCTGAAAGAAAAGCGGGTGGGTGGGGTAGGTTGTTTTTTACAGAAAGCCTAGTCTTTTCTTTTTCTGTTGAAAGCAGTGGGGATTTTGTGGGTTTGCTTTTTTTTTTTTTTAGTTATTATTATTTTTGTTTGCTATGAGGCTGGTTATTTTTTCTCTCACACTCCCCATAGCCGCACCCAGTTTCTTCAGTATAATGCTGAAGCCTAAAGCTAGGCTGCTGCTTGGCATCCCATTGCCCTCAGAGCATTAGCCAAGCTGACTTTTAAGCTTTTGCTCTAAGTGAGGGACAGTGCCATCTCATTTTCAAATATTTAAAGAAAATATTGGGGGAATTATTATATTTTTAATATGTTGCTAGATTCCCAGGTATCTGATAAAGGGAAGAGAAAAAATTAAATTGTACACCCAGAGGTAAGAAAAGGAACTAGTCTGCTACGGGAAGAAGAATTATACTGTTAGAACAATAAAGCTGTTAACTCTGTAGTGGTCAAAGCCTTTGCACTGCCCATGAAGCAGATTTTAAATTATATAAATAGTTAATTTTCACAGCAAATACTGCAGAGTTAGGGGATGTGGCCCAGGGCAGTGAAAGCAATACCAGGAAGGTGAGCAGTACTTCAGTGGTGGTCTCCACCTCCACCAGCTGTGACTGACCAGGGTCTCTTTGCAGAGGCTGGTGGCTGAACTGCAGTGGGGTCTCAGTGAACTGTCCGGAAGACGTTCACATTGTGTTTATTTTGGACCAAAATGTTGCATACAACTGCTGTCTGCCTTAGCAGACCAACTTCTAGAAGTACCTTCTCGGAGATGCGCAGCCAGACCAGCCCTTTGCTTCTCAGCTACCCTCCTCTGCCCGAGGTCATTGTCCCTTGCCCAACCTGGGTACAGCTGAAGAGATTAGTGTTCCCCTGTGGAACGATACACATCCATTTTCAACACAAATCACTGCCGTTTCAAAATCAGTCTCGCTGTTAGTAACAGGTCTCTAAGTATAAAATTAGATGCACAAAATGCCTTTATTGTGTCCAAGCAGAAGTCAACGTCAGACTGCATTTCTGGATACACAGCGGCTAAGTTCATTTACACATACCATAGCTCATTGGATTAAATACAGGAGAAGACAACCCAAGTGCCCACAGGAAGGCTGCCCACGCTCTGCAGATACCCTGGAGTTAAGGGGACTAGAATACAAGGGTCCTACAAATACTGTACATAGCCGTACCCCTGGGAAGTATGTGCCCAAAGTACGCAGACTCAGTACGAGAGAGAACTACTTACTGAAATCATAAGGTGCCTTTTACAAAGCAAATTCCTGGTAAAATATGATGTCGTTCTTAAGATGGGCAAATTAATTTTCCACTCCTGTGGAGAGATGAAATGCTCACCAAAAAAACCCCTACCTGTTTAAAATGTGTCTTAAAAATACTATGCATTTACTTATGCCCGATTCCAGAACAAGTTAAAGCAAATGTAGCCCTCCAAAGTACATACCTGATTTTTTTCTGGTATTTTTCAGCAGCTATATATTATATATATATATATATATATATTTATAAGTACCTATATCCTTAAAAGCTCATAAATATTGAAATTTGCCGTAGCTATGTCTACAAGCAGGCAAAAGTAGAGGCAGGTTTCTACAGATGCAAAACCCGGTATTTTGCCATAGATTTCTTGGTTTAAGGTTGATGTAGAATTAGAATTTTGCAAACAGCTGTTGTTTTTATTCACCTGACATGCGTGTTCAGGTTTTCTAACTGTGCTCTTCTGGCTTGTACTCAGAAATACTTCCCAGGAGCACTCTGCACCTAAAATAACTGTATAGTTAGGAGCTCAGCTATCTAATTTCTAACTAATTCTCTGTCTTACATTTTTTTCTTCAACTACAAACAAAATCTAAAGCATATATTCAGCATAAAAAAGAAAACGGAAAATTTGAGCTTGCCCCTTCTGTCTGTTAACCTGAAGAAACTTCATAGTTGAGATTTCCCAAATGTGGTTTTATTAAAACCTTAAGTTGTATCTGGCTTTTCTTCATTGAAAAAATAGATCTGTACATCCTTCTTTAATTACCAAGTACCTGAAGGTTATAAATTATTTTTTGCTTTACATGTGTTTTTCACAGCACAAGCATGAGGTGCTAAGAGTAAAGTAAAAATTAATGAATTTGGTCGAAGGTAAGAAAATACAAGATTATTCTCAGTTAGAAGAGAGATCAACTGTGCTTTTAAATTTCACTGCAGATTAGTAGCAACAGCACACATCTCGAAGGATCCAGTGACAGTAGACACCGAGCAGCAAGCTGCTGAATGATTCTTATGACCGGATATTAATTCGGGGCTGTACTTCTGTACAGAGCACTTCTAAACCATGCAGTCCAGGTAATTCATGCATTGCATTATGATCTGTAGTCCTTCTTGCTGTAGGGCTTATTTCCCAGAATATTATCTATTTCATTTACAATATGGGATGTCATCTTTGGAAGGACCTAGGGGTAAGAGAAAACCAATGTTTAATCAAGCTTCTATTAAAGGTTTTTCCAAGTTTAAATCTAGATTTTATCAAAGAACATTTCCTCTGGCTTTTTGTGTGACAGGTATTTAAACATTCAGCTAATACTTTTTTTCCTTTAAAGGAGAAACTACTGTAGTGTCTTTACCCAGTGAGAGAATCACAGAAGTGTTCCTAATCTTCTTCTGCACGATATTGCTCAGCTGCAGTGGAAAGCAAGCTGGTGGCAAGAACATCAGAGGAAGCTCTTGTTGTGAAAAGCAACAGAGAATAATTTAGGTGGGTGCAGGTGACATGTGCCCTGCGGGAGACTTGGTGCAGAATTTATCACAACATGTCCTGAAATCGGGTCGCTTGCTTTTATCTAAAAGTAGGCTTTTAGATCAATAGTAGAAAAATGCTGTTGATGCCACCCTCTTGTTGTTATAGCTATATGGCTATAGCTACCACAAACGGTGGTAAATCAAGGTGATGGACCATAGGTTTGCCTAATTAACGTGCCTAACTAGAACTGGAAGATGTTGAAAACAAAATACAAAGTATTAAAGCTACATTAAGAGATGCACTAGCATCAAGGTGTGCTGGTGTTACCCCCAAAGGGAATTGGTCAGTGGCGAACCCCCCCACCTCTATTGAGGTGCCACCACCACTTGCACTTGCCTGTATGGCTCCGAGGTTCTCTATGAGCTGCTCTGGGTTGGAAGATCCTAGAAGAACAGAGCTCACTCCCTCGTTTCTCAGGCACCATGCTGGGAATAAAGGCACAAGACGGTCAGGAACACGGGCTTCACGACACGGCATTTACTCCAGATACTAAAGCTTGTCAGAGCTTCTAGTTCTATTTGAAAAATAATGACACTATTACTTGTCAACCTTCACTTTACTCCTCCAGCACTACCAAGAAGATGCACAGGTCAGTTAACAATACTGATACTTAAATGATGGGAGCACTAAGGGAACGCCTGTAGCTTTAGAGGTTTGTACAAGGTTTCATAAGGCACAAACTTTGGGTCTGCATTTCAGAGTGTTACCCTTTGCACTACGAGGATGTGAGCCAGGTGATGCATGTGTGGCACCAGAAACAGGCCAAGACACAGGGACAGTGGTCCTGTCCCCCACCCCGTCACCTACCGACAGCCAGCTGAGGCAGTGTGCAGCCCAGGCGCTCGGCGATGGGCGACAGGTCTTTCAGCTTCACCTGCTGCTTTCTGCCTTCCTCACTGATGATTTTCTCTTTCAGCCACTGGTAGCACTGCAGAGGAATTACATTGCAATCGCCTGTTAGCTGTAATCTCCCAAAGTGGAACATTTAAGGTAATTATAAACAGCTCTTAAAAAGTCACAGCCAACCCAGGAGGTAATGGGGGCTGAATAACACAATGCTTTGCTATTCAAAGCAATTACAACAGGACCAGGATGTTTCCTGCAAGAGCCTATGTCTGTATCTCTCTGGCTTTACGCAACTCATGGGCTCAGTCCGGAACCTGGAACCTCCCCAGTTTTGTTTTTGGACCACTGGATCCCATCACAGAGTGGAAAAAAAAAGTGAAATATTAGTCAACTTGAGAACATTTTGACACACAGACTCCCAAAAACATTTTGAGAGAACATCTGATCTTGTTCAAGATTTATTACTACCATTCAAGTTTAGAAAATTTATTTAACGATGCCGAGATTTTAGTTCTCCCAGCTCCAAACTTGAAACTTGATTCTGCTTCACTCTCATCAATTTAATTTGGACTCCTCCCTGCAATGCTACCCACTTTGCTAGCTTTTACCAAATATTAATAATATATTTTATTTTGGAAAAAAAAAATCTCAAATGCAATGAAATACCACATTTGAAAATGCTGCCCTTTGTAAGTCAGTCAGTGTAGACTGCACCTGTCCTTCAAAAAGCAGCAAGATGAGCAAAAACCAGCAAGGGGACTTGGATCTGTCTGCTGGCAACTGTCACATGGCGTTAGCTTTTGCCCATCAGCTGATACAGAGCCTCAAATACAGGTTTGGTTGAGTTTTTCTCTAAATCCATGATGTTTTAATGCGCTGCTGTTTTTCAAACCACTAATTAATATGCCTGCCAATATGGGAAGAGGCCCTGTAACATCCAATAAAAGTAAAACCAGGATAATTGTGGGAGAAACCAAGCCCTGTGGTGACCATGGTGCTGCGTGTGGTGAAGAGGTTTTACAGCAGCTGTGTCAACCGGCCAGGAACAAAAGCAACAGAAACCCCAGGCTCGTGCCTTCTCATTGACAATGTCCAGGTGATGTAAGGTGGTGACAGCATCTTTCATCAGAGCCTGGCTCTGATGGCACGCTGCCCCACTGCCAGCTCACAGCCCTCAGCTCACTGCAGTGGGGAACCCAAAGCATCTCTATAACCCAGATTCTCCCGCTCTTTGGAGCATGGTTGCCAGAGAAACCGAGCAGATCCATCAATACAGCAGCACTCAGGCCAGCCTTCTCACGAGGGAACTGTTTTCCCTTTGTTATTTTCCTGCCCTCACAAAAGCAGCACATCTAGTTTTCTCAAACGCGCAACAAAAAAACCATACCTTTAGTGCAGCCCTTGAGCTTTCAGGAACCCCGTTGCCATATTTCCCTGAGATGATCCCACAGGCTAGTGGAGACCACGTCATTGCTCCGACCCCTGCAGAGAAAGCAGTGAAGGAGATTTTAGCAGATTGGGAGAAGTCAGAGTTGTATCAGAAATAGGACTTTCAGTTAAAAACATAAAAGCAAAACAATTGCTGCTTGTTTCTATTGCCACTGGCAGTGATGTTCACTTAATGATGCATCAGCAGCATCTTCCTGGAAGACACTGACTAGTTTATTAATCCAAAACCTTCTTGTGAGAGCCTCCAGCCCCATCCTGGCTCCTGCTGCATCAAAGTACCTGAATTCCTGCTTCTCAGCCCAGGCATCTCCTACACCCATGCTGCCTTGAGTCTCACACCTATTATATTAGCACCTATTTCTATTAAGGGCAGGGTAAGCTGGTTTTTCCTTTAGGTTATTAGATAGATACTTCTCTGTCCCCTTCAGATCCAGGGGAGGAGAGCACTGTTCCCATCTAGAGCCCCAGATCAGCCTGCTCCATATTTCTTTCTGTAAATGAAATAGCCAAAAGGCACAGCAGTCTCGGTCTCACCTATTTTATGATATAATTCCGGCAGCTGAACCTCCACTTTCTCTCTCTGAAAAAGATGGTATTCAGCTTGTTCACACACAGGTGGTATCATGTTGAACTGCCTGGCTACGGAGTAGGCTTCCTAGAGAAAGGAAATTAGTAGATGAAATACTTCAGGAAGTAAAACATAACCTACCAGCCAACATGCCTTGAGTGTACAGGAGCCAACAAACTCAAGTTTTGCTGTCCCTTAGCAAGGCCACACACATCCCCAGGAATGCCACCCCAGAAACACAGCCCCATCCCTGGCTGTGCTGCCCCTGCTGCAGTGAGGCACGTGCCCACCTTCTGCCTCCTCCAGCCCAAAGCTGCTTCAGCACCAGTGCAGCAACAAGCCAAACATCTTCCCAGCTGGGATGGCTGGTGTTGAGCTTCTTTGTCATGTTTTGATCCCACCTCAAGAAGCAGGGACTGGCAGGGTGCTCCTGGCATCTCTTAGAATCATAGAATGGTTTGGGTGGGAAGGGACCTTGAAAGGTCATCTAGTTCAATTTCCCCTGCCCTGAGCAGAGACATCTTCCACCAGATCAGGTTGCTCAAAGCCCCATCCAACCTGGCCTTGAACACCTCCAGGGATGGGACAGCCACAGCTTCTCTGGGCAGCAACAAATGCTTCTGACAAAACGTTATGGATGAGCCATCAGAATGCTGGTTCCCCCAGTCTGGGGCTTTTCAGGTAAAGCCAGTTAGGAGGTCCCTGCAGCCAAGCAGGAATATTTCCCATCTGCACCTCTAGACAGGACACAAGCAGAGAAGCGGGGACTGTTCCCTGTCATGAAGCTGCTGCCAGGAGCCACATCATAAATGGGGCATTAGTGGCCACAGGTAAGGACATCAAACAGGCAATTTGCTAGAAGTCTTTAAGTCAGCCAAATAAAGCCAAATTGAAAAAAACCTCAAATAAATGATCCAAGACACCCAAGCCAACTAGATCAGCCCATCTTCTCCTACTTGACATTGGACACAGGTGAAAATATGTTGGATGGAGTAAAACACAAACATCCCCAGCCCAGACCTACGCTTGCAGTCCAGCTCCCAGCGTGGCTTTCAGCAGACTCTGCAGCCTGGAAACACAATTACCAAGTGTAAACGCTTTCCTAAAAATTGACTTTACCATGATCTCCATAGCGCTCCAGCGGGACGTCCCCCAGTACATCGCCATGCCTTGATTTATGACATGTGTCATCGCTCGGACGATTTCTAAAGGAGGAAAAAAACCCCAAAAGTATGAAAAGTGCAGAGGCCAATTTTTCAGCACTAAATCCTCCCAAAGACACTTATAAACATCAAATACACTGACAAGCCACTGACAGTTTTGCATTAAGCACTATTTCTGCCGTGTTCTTGTGCTTGAGTGTGGACGAGAAAGCGTTAGCAGTATGAATGTAAAGAATTCTAACCTGCAGTTGTTTAAAAACTTCTTTTACTAGCTGGCTATTGCCTACCTCCACCTTATAACATTTCTTTTAATATTTAACACAAGAGGGCAGCACAGTCGAAAAATAAACTGAAAACAAATTTAAAAAAAAATCTTATTACTAAAAACACATCTCTGCTTACTGTTTGCACCCCATTTTTAAGGCTGATTTCTCCCTGGGAGCAGCATGTTGGGTACACGGCCAGTGCCCATCACATCTCTCTTGCAAAGGAGCCAGGAACTAAGCGAGGTCCCCAGAGCTGAGCAGGGTCTGGGGTCTGGCGGAGTCTGCAGCCCTGGGGTCACAGTCCCCATGAGATGATAAACAACTACCCTGGTTGCAGTAGTAAATCAGAGGAACCAACAGTCTACATCTATGTGACAAATTTTCAACCTATCAAACTATGGTGGAACAAAGCTCCAATTGGAAGTAGGGCTGTGTGGAGAAACCCTGGGTATTTATTACATCCCTTGGGGTACCTGCTGTTGCAGGTACTTGCTGGCTCCAGGCGTCACTGTCTCAAGATCAAGAGCCTTTTATATCATAAGGATTCTCAAATTATGGTGAGGGGGGAAGAGCTTGGCAGAGTGGAGATAACACTGCCAATCTTGACATTACTGCGAAATTTCTTCTGCAGTGACAAGCAGCTGAAGACGATGAAGTCTCCATTGATAACCTCAGAGGACTGTAGAAGAGAGACCCTGCCTCTTGCACTGAGCTTCTGCCCTACCACTGAGAAGAGATATTTCCTCTCCAGGGAAATGTTGCCTTGAGGAGCTTTTTCCCCTGACAAAGGGTAGAGATTTTGGGTTTGTTTTTTCCCCGCTTCGTTTTGACCAAAGCCACACTCTTCTCTATTTCTGAGCACTTTGTTCTCGGACATGTACTAGTCCAACAAACTACCCCGTTACCAAGCAGCCATCCTGCTCCCCACGGGTGTGTGTGTGCGACGGGCAGCTGCACGGCAATCCCTCTCTCCCTCCTCGGCAACGCCGCCTTCTTACTGGGTCTAGTTTTCTATTTTTGCTGCGCTCCCATTTAGGAATTTTGATAAGCGTTTCATCATACGCCTCTTACGCATTTTGGTCCATGGTTGTTTTCATTTCTCCCACCTCTACTCCTTTGAAGAAAAACTGAAGTCAACTCAGGAAAAAAATAAAATAAAATATGTATCTTCTTGTTTACCCGAGCCTGGTGATGGGAGTGTTTGTGAAGAGCACATGCCTGGACCACTCAATCTGCCACCTGGGTGGCACAAATGACATCACTTAAGAGATTATTTTTTTTTAAACATAAACAAATGGTTCAAAACACATAAAATAGCCTCCAGCAGCATAATAATAATTTTGAAGTAGCTTAAAGTTCCCATGTCACCTTCCCTTCCTGCTTGCAAGGGCTGACCATGCAGCAGGCGCCTGGTCCCCTGGCACAGTGACAACAGGGAGTCTCACCAGGGGACCCTCCTTCCCCACCACCAGAGCTGCTCTGCTCCTCTGCTGGAAAAGCTGATTGAGATGATGAAAAGGATCTGCTAGCACAGCTGGGGCATCACATCTCCAGCCTGACTAATGAAGCACGGAACTTGCAGGAATTCAGGAGAGAAGCACAGATCCTTCCCCATCACTTGTCTCCCAAGGTCTCCATTTTGGGGGGGGGGGGGGGGCC